TGTGGTACCGTAAAATCTGTATTACAAGCTGCATCCCTCATAAAAGTAAAATACTCTGATGGAAGCAGCATTCCCTCTGTTGCATTGTACTATTTTAATAGAAGTCACGGCTATAGTAATAACAAGTAGAATGATCATACTATATATATTCAAAGAGCACAGCTGGAAAATATTTTTTGTACCAACCCAGAATTTATTTTCCAGCTACATGTAGCTGCTCGCAAAAATAATAATAAATATGCTCTATTAGAAGCACATCTAATAGAAGGCAACATAAATCAACAGTCGCATTAGTTGTATACTGAATCCTTAAAATAAACTGACAGCTCTATTACCATAGAACCCCCAAAAAATGTAATATGGCACATGGATTACAAAATATTGAAAAATTGGTAAAAAACGCAGCCGATGCCCTTTTCACAAATACAAGGTAAGTGTAATCAAAATATACAACTTCCCATTTGGGTTCCTCTAAGAATGCATTTCCCCTTTGTAAATATCTGAAATGATGCTGTTGTAGCTTAAAAACGTGATATATTAAAAGTAGATATCCTGTGCTCACTTATTTTGAAATTATTAGAGGGTTTTATCACTCAGACAACTGACCTTCAACGACAAAGAAAATCTTCTAACTCAATTCTTTACAAATCTAGCTTAATTTAATAAGACTTGAAATTCATATTGTCTAATAAATTTCTCATTATCCTTCCACAATCTCCTTTGATGGTAAAAATAAATTCTCTTTTTTATTTTTCCATTTTATTTGTACTTTATTCATTTTATCAGTTTTTTTTCCTCTTTTTTTTTATTCTTCATGTCTGTGTTGCATTTTTAATCAAAATCCTAATAAGTATACAAACACAATTATATATTATAATTGTGCAAAGTGGGAATGCAAATTTTACAGATTAAAAAATTGCCATACCTCTAATGATTAATTCCACATTCCTGCAATCTAGATGAGTTGGAAGGGTTACATTAGCACCACTGTGGATCAAAATAGAATATGGAACTAGCTCCCTAGCTAGTGATGTATACAACTCTTGTTGATGTCGTATGGTAACCAGTCCACTGTAGTCACCTGACATGTCATGTGATATAATACTGGATCCTTCAGAACTCATCCCCAATGAGCCACGACCAGATATATTAATCTGAAATAATAACAGAATCACATTTTTACACATTTTGCATGACCCCCTAAATGTCACACATCCTGGCATTTTTGGGGGGTGTAAAGTTGTCATATATCATTTCTATTAAGTGACACCAAGGATTATTAACCTTTTCACCACCAGAGTTTCTGGCCCAAATTATTCTCCTTTTTTCTTATATTCTTCAATATTTCTGGAAATGAACCCTAATTTTGGAGCCAACATTTGAGTCAATTTTCAGTTTTTACTCAAAAAAAATTGGCTATTTTTGTCCCAATTTTCTGAAGACTATAAATAAGACTATTTTGTGATGAAAAGAAGGAACTGGTGGTGAACAGGTAAGATAAGAGTATGCAGCATAGATACTATGTAATGAAGATTTCATGTGAAGCAAACTTATTACAAACAAAAGTACTAGTGTAGGCTAGGAAAATTTTAATTATGTAGTAGAAACACATGTAATACACACTTTGCCATTAAATAAGGGCAACAAAAACTTATAACATTGAAGCCTCCTCCACATGCCATTCATTATTAAAATAGATCCACCAACATACATCCACACACGGGACTGGTCAATTCAATTCAATTCAAAGACAAAATCTATTTAACTTTTTCAGTCTCCATAAAACTTGTATTCAGTCCACCAACATACATCCACACACTGGACTGGTCAATTCAATTCAATTCAAAGACAAAATCTATTTAACTCTTTCAGTCTCCATAAAACTTGTATTCAGTCATACCTCTTCAAATTCAAACTGATTGGTTTCCTCATTCTCTGATACAATCATTGCTGATACATGGTTAGTAAATTCCTTCTGTTCAGCGGATTCAGGATCTTCTCGTATATATATCTCAATTTCATTGACTGCGGCATACGTTGATATGGCATGCAAGTTGATTATGATCTGTGAACATTCAGGATGAAAATTTTATACATTTGTAGATTTAAGATATTTTATTTAATAGTATTATCTTATTAATAAACTTAGTTGATACTAGAGTAATTTGGCAACACAATATGCCTGCCATTTTTAAGATTGTCTGCATTCATATCTGGACATTAATATATTGTACAGTAGAATTCTATTATAGTTTTGGTTAAAATGTTGGTTCAGTGAATATTCCATGAAAGTCAAAGCGGGAGACATTTTGTTTAGGGTCAAAAACCTCATAAATTTGTTGGGGGATAGTTGTAGTTCTATAGCACTTTTATATTTGTAAGGTTATTTCATCTGTCGTGATTATTGTGAAATCATGGATCTTCATCTTATTCCAATTACAATACCTTGCCAAACTAAAACAGTTTGCCAAAAACAACATGTATCAACATTTGCGAGATGACAAGTTCCACACATATCTCGAGAAAGATATGCTGTTACATCTTTTCTCAAAAAAAAGGGGAAAGGAACATACTGATAGTTTGTAACATTCACAGTTTCCACCTATTTATTTAAATAATTGTCCTGATAAGTTGGTGAGGGTCAGTGCCTAGCAATATGCTCAGTTTGTTAGTCAAGTAGCTGCATCTGCATATGCATTTTAAACCTGATCATGCACCTACCTTGTCTGTGAATCTTCCTATGTTCACTCTACCATATTCATTACTCTGGCATCCAGTAGTCTCCACATACCCATTAGTATGATTCAGTTGTTCACCGTTAAGTTCACCAATCACCTCATAGTTTGTCCAATCTCTACAAACAACACAATACATCAAAATGAATAAAATGGCATAATAAGATTTTGTTTTCTCTGAAATCCTGTCAAAGTTCATGAGTTGCGTAACTTGATAATATAATTCAATTTTGTTATTTGATTTATTCATTACTCAACAGCAAGAACACTAGTAACATATATGAAGTCCCATCCCAGCTCTGGCATTAAAGTAAAAAATCAAATAGCAGAAATCTGTTAACTGCATTAAAGACATATCAGCTATTTAACACACTGAGGACAGGTTATATCACCCATTCAATTTACAACACATTGAGTGCAGTCAGTTGAGTAGATCAATACCATAACAAGTGATGGTCTTGACTGAGTGTATTTTTTCCATGTTTTAATGGTAGTGAACTACCTCAAATCAGTTGAAATCAGACTATGAAATGTAATATTTACAATACATAAGATGACTGCAGAGATGTATGTACAGGTAGTATGTAAAATAGTGCTGTCTCAAAGATCCAAACAAAATTTTCACTGGAACAAATCTTAACAGTTTCAATGACCACCAAAATTCCTGAAAGATTGTCTCCCATAAAGAGAAATGATTTACAATATTACTTACTGATAACTGCATTGTGGGTATATTTTTATATGATCAACATATAGCGCAAATGGTAAAAAGTATGTAATGGTTGGGTCGTCAGTTGTTGTTCTATAATAAGCATCACTTCCTGCTCCTGATTTGATGTTATAGAATGGGTATTCGCCATTAACGCTACAACACACACTACCAGTCGTCGTGACTACCACATCCCCATATGTTGTGAACGTTGTACTATACCAATTCACATTTTTTCCAGCCATAGACAATTGGTGTATTTCATTCACACGAACGGCTTCCGTGACATCATGGGTGTTATCAATGTATAAATTACGTTGCTTGTTATTATTTCCATTGGCTGTGTAGACCGTACCAGCACTACCACTGGTATCTCTCATGTCCTTATTATGGCTTGTTGTGCCGCCATATGCTTGTAACTGACCAATGAAATCATACCAATCAGTGTATATAGCTAGTCTTCCTCCACTGCCACCACCACCACTAACAGCTGTATAAAGAAAGGCTGGTTATAGGTCTTGTACATGAATTCTAAACAAATCATGCTACTTTCTGGCATATAAATTCACTATCAATAAAACAATTTTATATATATTTCCCCAAAAATCCATTGAAGTTCAACACAGCAAAAATAAGCAATAAAATAAAGGACAAATGTAACCCAGGAAAATTACAGAATGTAGCTGTATAAACTGTGTACATATGTACATATTTCTGAAAAGCATCATGAAAATAGGAAAGTACAGACAATTATTGGAAATAGAAACACTTAAAGCAAATGAATTTGAATTAGGAGTGTGAGAATGAAAGAAAAATTATTTAGACTGAAAAAGCTGAAAAACAACTCTAGGTCACATTTAAAAAATCTGACTGTTCAGCAATGTGCTACTGATAATTTGCTTATGAAATTGGTTAGAAATTATATTACAGTATTTGATCTATAGGTCATCACACTGTGACTTCATTGTTTATATTTTTGTAAACCCACAAGCGAATGTCTGATAACAAATTTCGCTAACTGATCATTGTAGTTCAGGATCTGCGATGACAACACTGCCCACAAATTGGTTTAGGTACAGGAACACATATATGTAAATTAGATAACAACATCAGTGAACAGCGCTATCATTTTATCTTTGAGTGGGAACGATCAGTACTTGCTAACTGGTCACTGCATACACATGCATGCACAAAAAGTGCAATGACCTATTACATGTAGTAATAGTATCGCATGGCTTACATAAGTAGCAGAGGTGTGTCTATAATCAAAATAACTTGTATTTTAACAATCTAGTATATAATAAATACAAATTTTGGCTTTTGTAAACTTTAAACAGACTAAATACAAAATATAGATTTACTCTATTTTAAATATAAAAATGACTTCATGCATTTGTGCTGACCAATCATTAGTGTGTGTACTCACCTTGGCCACCTTTGACCTCAATGGTTCCACTTCCATCCAAATGCCCAGTTTGTATCATAATACTACCACCAGCTCCACCTCCACCACTATCACCATTGGCCTCCCCGTTGCTATGAAGACGACCTTCGACACGTAAAGTATTAGCAACTTCCAAGTGCATCACACCTACAAAGCATAAATAAAGCATAATAAACAATTTATAATTTGTGTATGGGTAAATTATTGCATCTGATGACTGTGATGATGTTTGTATGATTTTTCTTTCAACTTTCATTTAAAGAAATTTCATTGTTTCATTGTTCATAATTTCAGAGTGTTATTTTTTTATTTCCATACTATGATATCTCATGTAATGCAAGGCAAGTTGTTATTGAAAAAACTCCATATTTTGTCAATAAAATATGCATTCCACTACAGTAAAGACAAAGCATTAGTTAACATTTTCACCACCACTCTTTCTCGCCCAAATTTTTCGTCACTTTTTTCTTATATTCTTCCATTTTTCTGGAAATGAACCCTAATTTTGGAGCCAACAGACAAAATTTGAGTCAATTTGGCTATTTTTGTCCCAGTCTTCTGAAGGAAAGTGCAGACTATAAACAGGACTATTTTGTGAATTTGTGATGAAAAGAGGGAACTGGTAGTGAAAAGGTTAACTTCCAAGCTGGCTATCAGCTGACTTTTCATAGAAAAAAATATCCCTGCAACATCTCATCCACTAAAATTAAATTTCCCCTTTAAATATGAATCATATACATGTATATCTTACCTCCCCCTCTCCCACCACTGCCTTCACCATTACCTCCTCCACTACCAGGTAGTGATGGGGAATACATGGAATCATAGGAGTATGCAGAGTAAAGACCAGCATCAGAGTGACCTCCACGACCACCGTGGCCACCACCAGATCCACCAAGTGTGTTATCTTGAATGTCAAGTCCAGCACCAGGACCTTCACTTGAAGAATAGCCAGACCAATCTGAGTGCATGTCACCTGGGGATAAAGATTAAAGTTATAGTGAGTAGTAACACAAAATATATTCATTAAAATATTGTTAAGTTTTCATAAGAGAATATGTTCTATGACAATGACAATAATTTTATTTCCTTGTATCCATCTGCAGTTAATACATTATGCACAAAATATAAAAAAAAAATATAAATAAATAAATAAATATGGTTACAAGAAAAAGGGGACATCACGAAGCACTGCTTATTGATGATGTTCCCTGTTTACACTAACTAAATTGACAATTGCCTTAATGGGCAATTCAAAATATTAATTACAAATTTTAATTGCTTAATTTAACAACATCATAAAAGAAAAATCACATTTCACGATATTGTTCTAACAAATGCTTTTTGTACATTTGCTTAAATGTGTGGAAAGATTTACAATTTTTCAAATTATTATCAATACTGTTCCTAATGTTTACTCCAGCACAAGATAAACACATAGCTTTTACTCTAGTCCTTCTGTAAATGGTACCATAATTCTGACATTGTCTTGTATTGTACTGTTGAACACTCAAAGGTAATTGATTTTTATTTGCTTTATAACGAACTAATACTGTTCTTAATTCAATAATGTCATATATATTTAAGGTTTTAAACTTATAAAAAATAGGTTTTGTATGACTACTATACTCTGCTTTTGCCACCACTCGTATAGCTTTTTTCTGTAACAAATATAAGCTTTTCAATGTTGATTTGTACGTCTATCAGCCATGCATTAACCATAGGGCAAAACAATTAAACTGTCATATCTTTACAAATAGTTCTGTACCCCACACTCATTTTACTTTATATATATATATATATTTCCAGACACATTGTTTTATAATCTTGAGTTACAAAAAAATTGCAAAGAAATTTTCTAATTAAATGAGTTTACTTTTTTTCTCATAGATTTCCACGTTAACCCAAAATCCTCATACAGAAATATCACATTCATCTAAAAAATTGGGTCCATAAGCAAACTAATTGAAAAATATAAAAAAAATTGCCAAAGACTTTATAATACTGTACTGATCAAGCTTAATGATTGATTTCTGTGTTTTATTCTGTATTTAATGATTACCTACCTGCCACATCTATGGTCACATTAACTGCTGTCAATTTCATATCATTAGTTCGTACATAACCACCGGCTTTTACATCCAGCAACGTAACACCAAGCGACATTCGGCTGTAATTTGCCACTGTCAGCAGTTCAAATTTACCATCAGCACGAATGGTCACATTCCCAAACTCATAGACGCCATCAAGTTGATTGTATGTACTGCCATAGGACCATAGATAGAGAAAACCACCTGTTTCTACAGTGAGATCAGCAACATTTGCCAATGTACCGTTACATTCCATCCACACATCCCTCATTACTGCACGAGGTGGCAATTCCAAGTGACCATATCTATAATATTCAGTTTTAATGCAAAATAAATAACTGTTCATAATTCTCACAGGAAAATAACTATTGATAACATATAAATACAGCAGGTTATTTTATTTTTAACTTTTTATTTAGTTTTGTTCTTAATTTTGTTTGAAGTATTTCTCTATTACTTTTGAGCCTAAGATGAAGTTAACATTGTTTTTATTATGGTATAATGAAGATTATTATTATTATTATTATAATCATATTATAGTCATGTGCAAGAAACCATGAAAGTAGGTTTTTGTTTCTACAATCAAATCGTTCCAAGTGTCTATTCCACATTTTGTGTGATGCCATATCGTCAGAAATTGTTATTGAAGAGTAACAAAGAACTTATCACATTAATATTTATTATTATTATTATTATTATTATTATAATTATAAACATATTTATAAATAATTGTAAATCAGCAGCTTTCATTCAAATTCAAATATTTGTCTACGCCAATAATGTGTGTGCACGCTTTCAAGTGAAATATAGCAACTGAGATTGCCTAATTATTCAAAATAAAGGTTTTGCTGATTGAATGGTGTGTAATTCTGTAATATTAGAACTTGTGATGATGTTGTCATATCATTTCAAATTTCAACCAGTCATTTTCATTTATAAAATTTTTTATTTAAAAAACATTTAAAACACCCCAAGCTTTATGCCATTCACTGTATCACCCTGCATGTAACCATCCATACATAGAAATTAATTTGCATATCATTATCTTTATATACTGCTTGATGTGGACAGTAGAACTCTACCTGTAAATCTGCAGGTTAATGGGTATATAAATATCCACAGAGTCAAACCCAAATGTCTGACGCTGTCCAACATGTAGAACACCAGTACGATCACCATACATCCTGCCACCTTCCACAACCACTTCATTTATACTGGCATTGCTAAGTATCGCGACATGTGATTTGCCATTGATATGTAACTCATCAACCTGGTACGCATCAGAAGAATGCCACAACCACGTGATCCCGCCGGATTGGCTGATATCCTGATAGTCACCGTCTAATAAATTTCGTAGATCACCATGATTATACACAGCAGCATGAGGATATCCTACACCATTGTTATCAACACGAAGAGTTCGATGCAGTATCTCTTTAGTTTCTTGCTCTCTCTGCTCAAGATAAATTGTCCCAGCAGCACCAATTTCATAACTGCCATCACCTGTAATGTAGATCTTTTTAATTAAATCGCTGCATGCAATACTCCCTAGTACCTGCTTGCATTTGTGCTTAAAAAAGCATTGATACAACAAAACATGGGTAATACATAGTATCTGCATTCGGCATGCACTTTTTAAATTATTCGCAATGGGTGAATAGACATTTTAAGCTCTACCGGCCCCCAAAACACCTATCCCAAAATTTATGTTCATTGGCATTTTTTTATAAATAAATAAAATGTACACTCTGGCTTGCACTCTAATCTGAAAATTACCAATGTACAAACAAATATTACCAATTATGAAAATATATGTTTTTCTGAAAGAAATTTTATAGTGTTCAATATGTTGCTGGTTTTATCTAAAAAACCAATAAACGAATCTTCACCTCCAAATGCTGTGACTGTTCCATTAAACTTTGTGTTGTCCTGATAATATACAGCAACACGTCCAGCAGCTCCACCTCCACTACCACCATTTACTGAAAGCAGACCATAACCATCTAAGTCTTCACAATCAATCCATACACTGCCACCACTACCTCCTCCTGTGATTAACCAGAGATATAATCTATCAAAGTAGGAACACACTAGGGTATATAAAAATATAGTACAGTTAAATGTGACAATCATACATACAATACCATACCATAAAAAACAATTCTCAAAACTCAAAAGTGATTAATTTTACATGTAACTAATATTTATCAGAAATATACTTGTAAGAATGTCCAAAACATAGAGACAGATTTATCTAAATTGAAATTTAAGTTTCAATACTAAAAAAAAACAGCTTTTAGTTATTTTATTTTTGTTTGTTTTTATGCAGATGAAAATTAGCATAGTCTGGAATTATATAAATTCACTCTGTTGTCAGATATGCTCAGCATCACACATGTTGACAAAGGAAGAGCTATTTCAAAACCAGAAAATGATAGGCCACCAAACAAGGTGTTTTCTGATTGGCTTACAGGTTAGGTCACAATTATTTATTAGCCAATGGCTATGACTGATAGAAAATACTTACCTGCTTTACCATCAGCTGTTATACTACCATCTAAAACCATATGTCTTGTTGTTATTTTAAGTGCACCACCACCACTGCCTCCAAGACCCAACCTTACCACTCTGTTACCAAACGGCTCGTCACCAAAATACAATTCTCCTGTGTATGAAATATGTAAAATTAAGTCATCAGTCAATAATCAGTTTGCCCATGAAGTTTTTAATAACAAAAAAAGGTTTTTCATGTCAGAAATTACTTACACAGTACATGTATGTCTCAGATCACAGCAACTCCAGATGTTCAAACACAATTTTGACTAAATCAACATTTTCAATTTCAATAAATTAAATTTAAATCTGACGTTAATTAACCAACTAATGTAAATAAACCATCAGGTGTTTGTGATTTAAATTTGTTGTCTATAGGTTTACATATAATAATTTGGACTATATTTTTTCATGACATGTGACTATAATTTGACTAATCAGTGTGAAAATAATAGCAATGATGAATATTGATTAATTATATTGTATATGAGATCACCAAAACAATATCATGTGATATGTTCAAATTTTGTAAATCAAATGATGCTCATGGATATGACTTTCAATATCAATATGTTGGTGATACTGATCATCACAAATTTAAAATACTATGAGGTTAAGACAATACAGCGAGAGTATTAACCGACGCACAGCAGAGGTCGATGAGACCGCATACTGTCTGAGTGCCTACTTTGCAGTATCCTCATAATAATCTCATAATAATCTTATTATTAGACATGGGAATGCCGAAATCCAAATCATTTAGAACAGATTTAGCAAACTTCTTTGTGTGGGATCCGGTCAAACCCTGGGAGCAGCCATGTTTGTTTTATATTATTAGAGAACGCTTACATGCATAATCGTTCCATATTTGAAACTCATGTTTCCTAATATGGTAGTATGAAAATACCCAGTGCAATACCGCAAAATTACGGCATGCTGTAACTTATGGCATTACGTTGACAGATGTATAATAATGTTTATTACAATATACCAAAAAGCTGTTTCATCAAAGTGACTGTATTAAAACTTAGGTTTACTAAATATGATTCAAGTGAACTGAATTTGTCGACACACTCACCGTAATGATTTCCATAGCCACCTACACTGCCGTATTCAAATGGTTCATATATAGATCCATATGCCAATCCAACCAACGCATTACCAGCACTACGACCACCACTCCCACCATGACCTCCACCGCTACCACCAGAAATACTTCCTGTAACAGTAAAATATATCAGTGGATTTGCAGTTTTCTTAATTTTACACACACTCATAGTGTTAACACACATATCTTTCCATCCAAGTGCATGCTTGAGTTCAGAACCACATCTCAGACATTCAGTGCCTATTAAAATGACCCTACAAGTTTCCAATGATGTGCATGCGTGAATTCAAAACCATTTCTCAAACATTCACTGCCTAAATGAACCTACAACCTTCCATCCATGTATATGCGTGAATCCAGACATGCATTAACCAATTTGATGCAAACAATAACAATTTGCTTTTTGATCAGCTCAAAAATGGCAGCTATTTTTCAGAAATCCCAACACTTATAAACATTGAAATTTATATTTGTAATTCTACTGATTAGTGGCAAATGTCACCTTAGATGTATACACTTATCAACAATAGCCCATAATTATTACTGGTTATCATTTATTGATTTATTACTAAATACTATTATAATAAACAATAATAAATGTATTTCCATCCAAATGAGTTTGTTTTTTCTTTGTGGCAAATCTTTTATGCAATAACCAAAATATTACGGGAAAAATGTATATTAAACATTTAAAATTGTTCACATAATTTCTATAAATTATTTTTAACTTACCGTAACCTCCACCTGGGCCTTTATTCTCTGGCATTTTGTACCCACCACCATCCAGATTAACCAGACCACCAGAATATACTGCTGCTAAGTGGTCAGCTATGATTTCAAATTTATCATTGCTCTTCAAGTGACCACCTCCATATACCTAGTAACAAACATTGGCAGTGTTATCCCTAGTACACTCATAATTATCAATATGGCTGCCTGATTTATTGTTACTGGGTGCATTGAATTGTCAGGTGAGATACCAAGACAAGAAAGTTTATAAAAGTTTGAAGGTTTATTTAACATTTTATCCATTTTTTTGGTTAATACAGGTAAAAGTTTTATGAAAACAAGCCTGTTCTTATTTTTCTGAACAAACATAGCAAACTACTGAAAATCAAGAAATACTAGACATGAATGTTTCTCTTTAAATCCCTCCCTAATGAAACATTCCATAAATCTGTGTCAATATTTGGCCGTGCAATAATCATACTTACAGTAAAATTTGTCAAACTGATTACTATGGCAACGTCTGTATCATACGATATCAATTCAAATGTTCCTTCATCCTGCACATGCAATGACGATAATTGCATCTCGCCAATGTTACTATGGATACCAAGACTGGAGTTAGAATCAAAGGAAACATAACCACCATCAAACACATACAGATCTTTGATACCATCAACCTGGAAAGTGAAAAGTTATAAATATTAATTATTACATGTTTACTGTAGTTTACTTTGTTGCAACCTTGAAAGTACTTGATATTTCCACTGTTGATATGCAAATAACACAGCAATAATAAGTCTTCAGGATTTTCTTTATAAATTTACGCATTTTTGAGATTTTACTGTTCGAATGTAAAAACAGACAGCACATTCTGGTAAAACACAAACTTAGACCTGTTCAACAAACCAGAAAAATTACACAAAATTGCTATGACTTTTCGTTTTCTATAGTTGTATTCTACAATTTTGGATGAACACAATTTTAATACCCCTTTTTAAAATTCTTTACAGTACTGATTCAATAATGGATTTATTTACTTAGTGATCACATGACCAATTGAGGGTTGCACCAGATATAACATTGATTTTTATTTAGGGTAAAGTCTGGGCTTTCATGAAATATATATAGATTTTAGAACCCTTCAATAAATTCAAATTGGTATATAACAAATATTTCAGGTTAAAAAGCTAAGGAATGCATGGTCTACAATGCACATGATATTGGTGAGAATATTTTCACTAACATTTAATTGTTCTTCCATAACCAAAAAATTGATTGTTCAAATACCCAAATTCAAATAATCAATTTAATTATTTAATTAATTAATCAAATTCAAATGGGAAAATAATCAAATTCAAATGGGAAAATAATCAAATTAAATTATTTTAATTTTCAAATTGATTCAGTCAAACACTCAAATTAAATCAATCAAATTAAATTATTCAAATAATCATTCACATATTCATTGTTATATATGCATATTCAGAAACCAAATTAATAATTGAAATCATAAATCAATGTTGGGTAATCTTCCCAGAATGCAATGCACTAGAAACAAAATAAATTGCACACCTTCCCTGATGACTTCATCTTTACATTTTTAAAGAACGCCCTCTGGTGGTAAGTTAGATGGCCTTCTTCATAAATCCTCATATTGACAGGAACGTCAGCATCAGCAACATCTACTGTAAAACTTTGAGCATAGCCAACATGTATGTGTCCTGAAGGTACATAAAAAGCAACAAATGTTTCAGGTTAGAGATACATGTATTGCTCAGCAAAAATAATGATAGCACCAAGGCCTAGTGAGATATGGGGAGGTAACATAGGTATTCTTTGTATTTATACAGGGTGATATGCAATGATGATATTGTACTGCTTCATGTACTAGTTGCATGTACATACCATTTGAATTTATTCTTACTAACTGTTTATCACAGAACTGAACAGACACTCTCATGATTTGATTGTGTAAAATGCAAACAACATGCAATACACATACCGGTAAAGTGAATATGCAAGAACTAAAAAAAAACAGCCTGAGACAAAATATTTTCAAAATAACAAAATCAATTCTTTTGTGAGATACATGATTATTCATTGCATTGCTGTGCACCCTGATCTTATAAATCAAACTACATGCTGTCTATGATCGTATGACTAAAAAATCTATGAATAAAGACTAGTGAATCGGTCAGGAATATTGTAGGTGAGCCTCACATACAGGTCAGTCTGCGTATGCGAGTCTCCATAGTTTTGTTCAGTCAACCAAGACAGTCAATTGGTGCTGACACAGAATTCTGTGTTGACTAAGTAGTTACATAGAATTATGCAGGCCACTTTTTGTGTCTACTTGGAATCGTTGAATAAGGCTACTAGTATATAAATCACTGCAGTCACACACTACATCAATGCAATTCTTTTCCAAATCCGGTTTATACCTGTTTTATCACCATGGAGATGACCCATGTACACATCCACTAGGGAAGTCAATGAGTTCATTGACATGACAGCTAACTGTGCACCACCTAATATATGTGTTTCATTAAACCAGTAACTATTGGTACCACTTGGTGTAGATTCAATCCATGTTATAGCAGAATCCAACTCTCTGTATTTATATCTACAATAAACAGAAATAGTGAGAAAGGAAAAACAACAAAAAGCTGCAATTTGCATAAAAAATCAAAATAGTAGCACAAATTTTATGGCAATGAAATCAAGTTATGAAAATGACAAAGTCCCCAACTGGTACTTTTTCAAAGTAATCTAATAGCCATTCGAATGAAAAAGGGTGATATTATGTGTGCAAGAAAATATCATGTCAATAATTCAGTCATTAATTTTTAAGTAACAAGTCTGGGAATGGATTAGCAACACACACAAAATAAAGCCAACGTACATAGTCACCAGTTGGCCATTTTACGCAAATCACAAAAACAGAATAGTGTACATCAGTAACCCACCATGAGTGGTTCAGACAAAAAGCATACATCTCCCATTATGACTTGTCTTTGTTTCAACTGATTGTTTCAAAAATTGCTTCAGAAATGTCAAAGAAATGATGTCAAGCTGTCAGATGCACTGACATTGATGCACGGTTGAACAAAACCAAAAACATCAGTTCCTGTTTTGTACAACGTCCACTTCACACCCACATCAACTTTAAAAACAAGCAGTCTCTCGACTGAGATAGCTCTGCTGTTAGTAATGCACATTTCAATTGAAGATATCATCACAAAATGAACAAATCTGAGAACGGTCCACCTGTAGTACCTATGTGTATGATATCTTACCAATTGGACTTGCGATTTTCAAAAAGAGATCGAAAATGTCAATTTTTACCAAAAATGACAAAAATATTCATCAAAATTAGAGAATTGAAGATATCATCACACAACTAACAAATCTGAGAGAGATCTGCCTGAGGTACCTATATATATAGTATCAAAGCAATCAGACTTGCAGTTTTTAACAAGAAGTCGTAAATATAACTTTTTACCAAAAATGACAAACATATTCATCAAAATTAGAGATTTAAAGATATCATCATGAAATGAACAAATCTAAGACAGGCCTGCCAAAGGTACAAATACACCAAGTATCAATACAATAAGAATTGTAGTTTTCAAGAAGAAGTCGAAAAAGTAAAAAGTTGACACAGAAACCAGACACCGGTGTACAATAACTCATATGATAAGCTCTGCTCGACAAAGTTGACAGCGGAGCTAAAAATGACCAGAAACTGTTTTTTTCTTCCTTATAAGTGAACAGTAAATGCAAAAGACAGTATAATGAAGTAATGTGGAATACAATATTTATTGTATTACTGTACCTGTGATGAACTTCAAGTTGCTCTACATAGAATTCCACTTCAGTCAAAGCAAAGAATCGACAGTAGCAAGTGTGAAAACCAGTTTCTGTGTAAAGACCTTTCAAGTCTATAGTAAATTTATCCGCTTCTCGTCTCAGGGGAATATCTAAATACATCCCTTGAACACAAGATGAACTCTGCTGGACATAGTTTGTTGTCACTGGGAATGAAGCATCCTCCAAAAAGCCAGTAACCTGGAAAATAGAATAAATAGAAATGAGAACTGGCATGAAAGTAACAGAGGACAATGGAGATGATGCATGGGCAGTAAAAATGAAATGCAAATGGCAACTGGAAAGGGTAAAGGAGAGTATGGCCACTATTACAATATTACCAACTAAATTAAAATCAAAAGGTAATTTTTTTATCATGTGAAATTGCAGTAACCTTTTTTTGTGAACTGTAAAATTTTAACTTTTTGCGACGCCTATTTTAGAACCAAATGATGGCCTTCACTCCAGCCTGATGCTAAAATTTTATGATGCCTCAATTTGAATATGTATGATAGGATAAGTACCTATATGTTTATTTTATAAAAGATGACAATTGTTGACTCAAAGGGTTAAAAGTTAAAGGTCAAAGGTTAGGGTTATTATTACTTTGATCAAATAAGTAGTGAAGGACTGAAAGATACCTTAAACTCTGTTGGATAAGCACAGTATGGATATATTCTGATGACATTGACATGATATACATCATGTAGTTCCACTGTCAGTGTTATAGTCTGTGTTGTATAATGAGGTTTGGATAGAAACCATTGTTGTGGCGAATCTTGCAGCGTCTGATCAAACAAATAACCAATAGAATATGATGATGAATCTGGTGCTTCTGATGACACAATAGTTATTCCATTAGCAGCTGTGTACGTGGCAAGGCCTGTATACGACGCATCATCATTGGTCAAATCTAAACGTCGACCAACATTCTCCATTTCATCCCAGTAACCATAGCGACCTTTGTTATCAACCAGTAATTTACTGTAACCGTCACCGATGTGTTGTAAATACGCAGTACCAGCAGCGCCTGCTTCAGCTGTCTCTTCCACTCTTCCTCCATACACATCAAACTGTCCATTATAGAAGCCCTGGGTGACATTATTTGAGTAATATGCAGCGATTCGTCCGCCTGATCCACTGCCAGATTTAGGTAGATCACCAGTACCACCAACACATTGGATTTTACCAGTATGGCCACCTACAAAATTGAAATACATTAGTACATTGCACAACAGCTGCAAATCAATTTTTTTTTTTCAATCCATGTATTACTCAATCAAAATGGTCTTTGTGGTAGCAAATTACCACACATTGAATGGGTTGAATGATATGATGGTTATACTTTGCAAATGAAAACACTAAGACAGCTCAAAAATCAATTTTTAGTCAAGCTATTTGCATTGCTATTATTTTACTATGTACTCCCAGATTATTTTTTGCTCACAATGGGGATAATGTTTGATTTAATATTTGTAACATCTACAAATACGAAATATATAGGTAATTTTCTTCCAATTAACACTGGTGTAAGTCTGACTACTTATTAGACTGTATATATCTTATCTTATGATAATAAAAGCTTATGACATACAGTTGAGCTGTTAACTGTGAGCTGAATCATATCCATGACATTGACTGTAGCATAAACACTATTAAATATAAACAGGACTCAAGACCAATTAAGAATCTCTGGTCACACTAGCCTGACTCCAATCCAATCCTAATCACAGATACATGTACATTCACATGCAGGTAAACATCATCATCTATAGTGCAATGTTTTTGTTTTTTATCAGT